CCCCCTTTCATTCGTTCTTTCATTCGTTTACTCTCATTCTTTCACTTTCTCTCGCGCCTTCTGCCCACGCCACTCGTATTCCTTTTTTTTTACGCCTATCGATCATTCGAAGCGCGCGAACTTTTTCGCGAACAAAGTTCACGTTACTCCATTCCATTAGAGGGATACGCCGATTCGTTAGTTCTATTCTCGCCGTAGAAGTTTCATGACTTCGTTGCACGAAGTGTCACGTGGAAGACCAGTTTTTGCAACCTTACAGAGTGAAGTTTCGCTTCACGCGGGCGTAGAGATCCGCGGACGTCGCACCGTGCTCCTCCTCATCTCCTCATCCTCGCTATTTCCTCGCTATTTTCTCTTTCTATCTCTCTCTCTCTCTCTCTCTCTCTCCTCTCTTTCTCGAATAAAATCGCGCGAAGTAACGGTGACAACGATTTCACGGGGAACCCGTTAAAACTATGTATATATTTACACACACACACGTGCGCGCACAACACGCACCCAGTGAGGATATGCTCTGCAGTATCATCGGGAATGTTCGAGTTTCTCACGCTAGTCCGCGCGAGCGAGATTATTCGACGTTCGCGGGAGTACAGAAAAACTCATTGTCAGCGGTAGAAAAATTTATAAATGCTCTATCACAATTACATATTATACCAATAGAGTAACGCGCGTCTGGACACGGTTGAATCGTTTCACTTTGTCCGTCACACTCCGGCTCGGCGAATGTTCGCGAATATATTCGTCCCTCCCGAGACATGGCAGTGGAGATATGGATATGGTCTCATCGCTGAACCGTTCGTTAATTTATTTTAGTTGTTCGTTTACTCGAGACTGTAACGATACGCGGCAGAGACACGGTGACGGTCCACCTGTCTATCCGTCCGTCTGTCTTGGAGATTCGACATGCGTTCGATGACTCGTCGACGCGTTTGCATAAAAGGAGAGTATGTCTCCGAAATTTTATAATATCGTTTGCCACGTTCGATAGCCTGCGAGCGTAAATAGCGCGGATATCGTTCGATATCGCCGATATCGCGTGCGAAAGTTGCGCCTCAAAAATATCGAATCTGTGATTTAAACGGAATATCGATGCTTCGTTTCTTCTCCTCTTTCCCCCTGCTCTCTCTGTCTGTTTTTCTCTTTTTTCCTCCCCCTTTACCGCGATATCGAAGCCGATCGTTCAACCTTAAAACCGCATTTCACGCCTTCAAACTACACGCCAAAGTGGCATCGAGCATTCTCTTTCTTCCTTTCATTCCGCGTTTCTTCCTCGTCTCCTCCTCGCGCTCGTCACCCCCTCTTATTCCCGGTATATTTTCGCGCGGTTCCTCCATTCGTCTTCATTCGAGCCATCGGAAAAGGGGTTCGTTCGAGAGCCTTTTATCTTTCCTCGTGTTTCACGGCCTGATGCTTCCGGATCGACGCCTCGTTGCTACGATTCCGATTTATTTAAGGACGCCGCGAGATGCGAGTCAAGTTCGCGCGGGAGGCGAATAGTAATCGCGTTTCACTCCCCATAAAAGAAAAAAAGAACGAGGAATATGAGCCATAAAGGAAGGATGAGGGAAGATGCCGACAAGACGCAAAAATCTATATCATATTATTGGCAAAGTGATCGCAAATTTCGTAGGATGTCCTATTCACTCTGTTTAAGGCGGATGTCTTATCATCAACAGTCGCTAAAAGTTTGCGGCCAACACGTATTCCTATCTACCTGCATATTTTTCACGATTCTATCGATTAATTCAGAAAGCGTGAAAACGTTCTTTCTGGATTAATTGACAGTAATGAGAAACGCGCAGCTAGAAACGAATACAACTGGCCGAAAATATTTCAATTTGATCTATCGAGGATACATCTATCGATAATCGTATCGAACAGTAGTACGGTATCAACCATGCAGATGGCGCTTTTGTACGAGGCGACAGCTTCAATCGCGCGGACATCTTGGATTTCGATCTTTTCGCGCCGAGCAGCCGCCACTGACACATCGATCGACATCACTTCGCGTTTTACGCAACTTTTCTCGGTCGAAAGTGAATCTCGCGCGCAAATAAGTATCGGGAGTGCCGACAATAGCGATGTGCGATCGTTTGGATGTATGGAAGGTACGTTATTAAAACGTAATTTGCTTGTTTTTGTATATATATATCCGGCGCTTGTCTCTTACGCTTGCCGTTACCGTCGACTCGCTCGCGTAGTAATAGAATCGGACGATCGTCGGATTGATTGATTGGCGATTAGAAATTCAATGATATTCGATTCAGAGAAAAAGATGAAATGACGCCAGAGACATACGCGACGTCGAATCTCGAGCAGTGGCGTCGGTCTGTTGGCGAGAGAGAAAGAGAGAGAGAGAGTAAAGAAAGAGGGATGTATAGAGCGTGTAGTTGTAGAACGACGACACGTTCGCGGTGCGCGCGTCCTCGATCTTTTTACGTCGAATGGCCGCCATTAACGCATCGATCGACATCGCTCCGCGTTTTGCGCGTATTTCGTCGGTAGAAAGTGAGTGGTCTCGTGTGGAAGCAAGTGTCGGGAGTGTCGATAATAGCGATGCGCGATCGACGGGACGTATCACAGGTACGTTATCGGAAAGTAGTCTTCTGCTCGTTTCTCGATATACTCAACCGGTACTTGTCGCGACGTGCCGCGATGTCTCTTACGTTTGCTATTACCGTCGACTCGTTCAAATATTTAGCAGTAGAATCGGACGTTCGTTGAATTTATTAGTCGGAAATTAGAAGTGCAGTGGTAATCAGAGAGAGATTGATAATGTGACGCCGGAGACGTACGGGCACCGAATCTTGGTAGATAGGGTCGATCTGTCTCGCGGATTTAATTAACAGTGACGAGAAACGTGTAGCTAGAATGTGGCTGGTTGAGAACTTTTGGTAACTGTCGAATGATAAGGCATCCGCGGAATTGAGTGCACATGAATTTAAATTTGGCAAAAACTGAAGGGGAGGAAATGCCCAGAAAAAAAAACAGACAGGTCTCGAAGTGCTTTTCCGTCGATGACCGCGCGACACGCGAAGTAGTCCCTCGACGGAAAAAACGTCGTCCCCCGCAAACGCACTTGAAATTCGGCGTTTAATCTAAGCGGCATTCCGTAACTCACAATTCAGTTTCCCGTGCTTGTCGAGGGAAAGAGAAAGGAGAGAGAGGATGAAGAGGGATGAATGCGAACTCGTAGAAATATCCGAGAAGACACCGCCGTCGGAGATCATTCGCGTGCGAAGTTAAAAAGGGGGCAAAGAGACGGGGAGTTGGGTCGACGGCCGAAAACGGAATGTGGGAACTTGGCGGGTGCCCGCCGAGGCGATGAACTTTGCGAAGTTGCCTGCTAACTTCGCCCGCATACTTCCGCTGTTCTCCGCGCTCCCGGAGGAGAAGAACTGGCGCACGGCGATCGTATTTCGAGAAACAATCGCGTCGGACGATGTTTCTAGTCTCGCGAACTGCTCCGCAAGCCGTCCCCGCGCGAATGTCACGCGCCATGTCTCGCGGCGTCGTTTCAGACCGCGCGGAGTCGCTCCCGATTCCGATGGCAATTCGCGCGCGAAATCGGTCCCGCGCCAAGACCGCGAGGTCACGCAGTAAGTCCAACGCGTGATCCGGCGTCTTGCCGACCGCAGCTGCCGTTACAAACCAACATTCCCGCGCTTTCTCACCGAGCGTCTCGATCGCGCGAGACGCTGGCGAACTTCGTGTCACGGGTGGCACTCGGCGACTCGAGAAGCCGACAGACAGCCGTCACGATACTCATGGAAAGTCGCTCTCTCGAACACGCGACGATTCTCGTGTGCTCTCTCGAGTCCCTCGTCGAGGTCTGGCCGTCGTGAGTCTCGCGACCTCCACGCGACGGCCGCACGCGACGATCGCGACGTCGTGCGAGTCCCTCGAGTGTCGCCGTAAGGTCTAAGCTGCGACTGTTCGCGGCGACGATCGCGGCACCGCGTCACCCGCGGCACGAGTCGATCTTCTCTAGACGCAGCTCTCCGGTAGCCTGTTCGCCATCAGTCTCCGCTTGATCGCCTCGCCGTCGAGGCACTCGCCCGCCACGACGACGCCCTGTCCGCCGCCCACGACGACACCCTGAGTACCGCCGATGACGACGCCCTGTCCGGCGCCCATCATTACCCCCGTCACCGGCATCCCCGGCAGACTCGGTATCGTGCTTCTCGATGGTAACCTCAGCTCCGTCGGCCTGCCCGCGAACTTGTGGCAGAGCTCGTCTATGCTCGGCGTGGGCCCGGGCGTGACCCAGTGCTCTGGGGGATAACCGCCCGGGTAACTCGGCGGGCTGACCTCCACGAGGTTACCCTCTGGAACACCGAATCGAAAGAGGGAACTCTTTTGGGAGGCTGTGTCTGGCGTGGATGCGTTATGAGGCAGAACACGCCCCCGAGCGAACACGCCTGAGAGAAATCGCTTGTCTTTTTATTTTTCGTTGATATTTTGAGTCTTACGGAAACTTCGGAACGATTAAGACGCGCGCAGGAAGTTCGTTCGGCTAGTATACTCTGAGACACGGAACGACGTTCCGTCGAATGGACTCTTCTCTTGGCTATTACCCTTTTTTGCGCGAACGGAAATAGATATGAAGGGGGAAAGGCTCTTCTCTACCTTTCCGGTGAAAACCGCTACGCTCCCGTGAAAATAATTCTGCCCGCCGCGATTTTGAAGATGGGAAGTTGAATTTTCTCTTTTCTCCTCGCTCATTTCTCGAACAAACTTCAGCGGTCGGACGCGCGCTTCAGAAAGTACGACGATAGCTGACTAAGATCGACGTTTTAAAAGAATTAAACCGAATAATTTTTCCTTCCAGCAAAATTTAATTGGAAGTCGCGGCTCCACGTAATTTCTGGAGCTTGAAAATTAAACGAGAGTTACCGGTGCGAGAAAGTCGCATTTTCTAAAATTTCTTTTTCTCGATCCTCGATTTGGACAAAATCTTATCTTGTAGCTCATCTTGTAGCGTGTGTTTTCAGAATAAAGGTACGCGAGAATCAACATTTTCCGTGCTTACAATTCAGTTCTAGAAAATTCGAGTAATTTATTCAAATTAAACACGTGGAAGAAATTTGGTATAATCTCGTTTACAAATCGTGGAAAATGGGGAACGCGAATTTTGCCTTTATATCCCTCAAATATATCTCGTCTCGAATAACAGTGCGCCGTCAGAATTACGTAGGTAAAGTCAAAGTGAAGTTTATCTAAATTTAACCGAAGAGCAAGGTTTCCGCTGTTTTATTCGCCGTTTTATTCTTTTAAAACGAATCTATGTTCGAAAAAACTATTTTCATCCCCGAGAACTAATCATTCGGACTTTCGAACGGAAATATCGTCACGTGCGTCAAAAAGCCTCCATTACCGAACATCCTGTACAAACGTGAGCGGATCCAGAAAACTCTTTTAAAAAAGTCGAAAGTTCTCGCGTCGTTTATCCAATCTAACGCCGCGCGTATTTAACTCAATATTAACACATTGTTGACCGACCATGAGGAAATTTCTATTTTACCAATCGAATTGGCCCTTGTCGGTCGATCCGCGAGTTTTCTCGCGTTTTCACGGTTTAGGCGAAAAAGCAACCAAAAACTGGGGTTGGACAATATTGAAAGCGCTCGCGTTCAACAATGTGTTAACGCAAACTTATGTGAAAAATAACGGGTGAAAAATAACCGACGTTCGTTGATGATTAAAATAACTGGTCGACAATGCGTTTTAGGCGGCTACGCGAATCCCTTCCTCTCGTTTTTTTTCAGATATTTTCAATATCGAATTTTTAGATCTTATTTAACATCGAATTTTTATTTCTTTTGACCAGCAACCAAAAGAAAAAAAAAATATATATAGAAAAAATCCTAGTGAATTTCCACAATCTTAGATTCGGAGAGGACACGCGCGCCTTTTCCTCGTTCTCCGCGTGTACGTACAAGCTGTTCTACATCGGACACAGTTTGCAAACGATCGTAATCGGGCTTGCGCGCGCGCGCAAGGGTGTTTAGCGGCGACGGCTCCGTAGAGTCTTACCGAACTTGTTCGGGATCACGTCGGGATCAGTCTCTACGGTCTGCTGCGGATTCTGCAAGGGGTATTGTTGGGGCGGCAACTCGCTGAGTTCCGCCGGCTTCTCGTGCCGCGGTTTCGCCACGCGCTCCCGACGTACTCGCACCACTACAACCAGGATGATGAGGACCAAGGTCACGAGAGCACCGACCACCACACCTATCAAGGGTGACAGCACAATGTTGGCGTCTTGACCTGGAACAAGGCAAGAATACGACACCGTCTTTACTTTCCCTCTCTGGCATTCATTCGCGACGGAAAATCAACATTTGCCTAATATCTATCTCGCGATCGAGCGAGTAGTTAGCCCGACATGGTAACGATCGCAAATGGCGAAGAGACGGTCGCGACTCTCCGTTAAACCGCGGTGGCCGAAGAAACGCAAAGTTAACGCGGCTAATTCTCCGAGGCGGAGGAGGATTAAGCGCGCCGTGTCACCGTGAAGAGAAAACGACTACTGGACTAGTCGTCCGTTGTCCCAGGGCTACTGGGCAAGTCCCCTCATTTTTTTTCCTGCTTTTCTTCTCTTTCTCTACGGGTCAGCTCCGCTACACGCGCAAACAAACCGCACGAGCACGAACGAGGAAGCGTTTTATATTCTTCAACGTCGGGGGGGATTACGTCTGGCGTGCGGTATTTTTTCGCGGTGCCGTCACGTGTACGTACGCGGTCTCAGCCGCATTTTGTATTTTCGTATCGCTCGCGGAATCTCAAGTAGTGATGGCGCGCGGAAAGTATCCCGGGGACTTGCGTGGAATAGCGCGTGGTGCAGCCGTAGCTGCAATAATTCCTCGTGCTTCCCCGCGAATGGGGAGAACCGCTAAACACAAATGTCATTTCGATCCGATGCGGCGCGAGTCCGATGTTGCAGTGGAAAAGTGTTGAGGATAGAGGAAAAAAGAAAGAAGCAATATCAGCTTCATATCTCGGTCGTTGAACTAATGTCCATTTTTCAAGCAACTCTTTCCAAGTACGCTCGAAATTTATGTCACGCTACAACACCAGCTACACGCTACACATCGCACTATATTCCAGTCTTGTAACGCGTCTTATCTGGATAAATCACCAATTTCTCAATTTTCCGTACTCTCCAAAATTTATCGCAACGATCAAGGCACGGCTGCGTTTCGCCTCGTTGCTTAACCGCGACTATGTAACATGTGATTGCCAAGCGCACACAGTTAAGTGTTACAATTATTTCTCTCTCTCTCTCTCTTTCTCTCTCTCTCTCTCCTGCGCAAACACTAGATACACGTTGGGCGGTATGAGAAATCTTGCAGCATTATTTTTCCGCTCTCTCCCGCGCCCACCTCGCATCGTCGTCGCGCGGCCGCTTACACGTGATAGCGTAGCCCGCTTGATAGCGCCGGCAGCGTGAGACCGTGCCTGCTGTTTTTGTCGGATAATTAACAAAACTGCTTTCTTGCAACGCGAGCTGCACCGGCACCGGCGCGATCAACTGCGCCGGCGGCTTGTAAATGTGGAGAGTCCGCGCGTGTGGAGAAGTAAGTGCGGCGAGAAAGTAGGTACGACCGAAAATGCATCGTGTGCCGCGTGCCTCTAATTCTTAAATTCTCGTCTGGCGCCAACTTATTCGCGTCGATTAAGCCAACTTCTCTCTAGACCGCCGCGCGTTTATATCGCGCGGCTGAACCGTGTAAATATCGTTTAACGCGATGTAGCATCCGCCGCCATTTAAGAAGCAATCGATATTACTATTCGCGAGAAATTATCTGTGAGGTCGAACATTTATTTTCCTTTTTTTATCGAATTCTTTTTAAGTGAAATTATTAATAGGGGATTTTAAAAAAAAGAAAGTAATTGGAAAAATTTTATAACTGTTTCTGATTATAAAAAAATTAAATCGCGCAAGACTCGGAAAATTCATATAAAATTTAATTATCACGTTTCAGTTGTCAGTTTTTATGAGGAATCCTTCGCGATTAATAATCGCTCGCGAATAAAGCGATTGAATCGCGAAGACATTTGAGAGATATCAGGAGATTTCTAAAGAGAGGATCAGAGAATATTTCTTCGCAGCGGGATGAAATATACAGGTGCAAATGAAAACAACGATGTCTGTTTTTACAATTATCATAGTTACTACAATTGCGGGGACCACGATACTCTCGTGCAATTTCGTTTTCATTTTCGTGCGAGGAATCCCGCGCGGTCGACGGTTGTTCGCGAAAATGAAGCGATAATCGTAAAGACATCATAAAGCAGCGCGCCGACGACGCCTCGAGTGATTAACGAGAACACCCCGTAAGAGAAAGGCCGTGTCAGGTCAATCGGATCGCGATTACGTCTCGTTTGTACGGCGCACGGCTCGCGTGCATAATACAGGCATATTTATGCGTGTAAATGCATTAAGGCGCACGTGTGCCCGCGCAGTGTTATACGTGTGAGGTATTTCGCCGGGGTACGTGGTACGCGTAATGCCCGTAAAACCCGGGGTTTAATCAGCCGGCAGCCTAGGTACACACTCACCATGACCGACCCCATAACCCAAGGAACGTTCCGCACCACGCGCGGTATTATGCCGGGCATGGTGTCGGACCGTAAATGAGCTTCCCCGGGATCTACGCGCGCGCGCACCCGGCGCGTACAGAAGCGCAGAGAAGACGGGCGAGCGAATGCGCCAGCTCGAGAAATTCGTACACGTACGATTTCGACATACTCGAGTGGAAATCGTATCGTTTACGCGACGTACGACGACACGCTTCCTACCGTGTCACATCGATTGCACCACACACACACACACACATACATGCACGCACAAACGTCACGGAGTAACGTTTCACGCGTACGTTCACATTACGAGCTCGAGCGGATTTTGCGGAAGCGCCAGGGCGCCGAATGTGCCAGCGAGGAATTTGCGACGAAGGTCGCGAGATCACGCGAGTTGAATCGTCTCCTCGAAGGCGCGCGAATTTACGCGCGATCGACACGAGTTTTGCGGCGAGGGAAATGTCTCACGATATTTATCTCGCGTCGAAGCACTTTTTCGGCAGAAGCTGCCACCTGTATCTTGCTCGTGAGGGTCTCGCTAGCTTCCGGTGTGTTGCGTGTACCAAACAGCGTTACATTGCTCAAGGTACATATTTACGCGACCGCACGGAACGCAAGCCGTTGTTGGCGCAACGATCCCGTGTGCCGGAAAGATTAAAAGATCACCGGCGACACGGACGGGGAAGCACGACGTGCAATTGTGCAAAATTATCGTGGAGGTTTTCGCTCGTTCGATTACACGCGCGCACGCGATCTCGGGGCGCGTCGTTAGATCCCTTCGCGTTTCCTTATCGACGTTATTGCGTTCACCATGTTAATCTATGCGCCATCGATTTGCGTTTCGCAACCTCCAGACGCGCTCTCGCGTACATTTTTCGTGTAATTGCCCACGGCTTCGACTAGACTATAGAGGAAGATTTATGGAGGCCGCGGCGGGGGCGGAAGGACACGTACGGCGAGCGTGTCACGTGTGAGCACACATAAGTGACACGGGGTCCCATTGCAACGAGCTTAAGAAACTCTCGTAAATTCATCCGGCTCTGTAGATGAATTGCAGTAAAGCTTTTGACAATTTAGCGGAGGAAGATTTATGGTGTCGGAGTACCACAACGCGTACTACCACGACGGCTCGAGCTTTTAAATATTTCATTTTATTTCCCCTTCTTCCACGCGCTGCATTAGCGAAATACGACTCGCTATCTTGCTAACGCAATTATGTCAATTCTTACTTTACCTCGTTTTGCTTTATTTTATTTCATACTTCACTGAGGAAATTTTTGTTCGTTCGTGGGATTGCGCGATATAAAATCAAGGCTTTAGATCACTCTCTCTCTTTCTCTTTCTCGCCGTGTGTCCTTCATTCGTGTCCTGTCTCGTGTGTGCTTGTAAGATCGACGGATAATTTTTCAATTTATCATTACTTTTCGGCGAAAGAGTATGAAACTTACGCTCCGTGGGGAAGACTGGATACAGTTAGCGCGATCGTATACAACCCTAAGCCTCCGATACTGTCTCGTAAAAGTTGCAATGGAAGTTTAATCGAGTTCTACGCGGAGAAACGTCTGGTGCCGAGGTAGTAAAGATAAACCGGTCCTTATATCGTCGATCCTTGAGAAAGGACTAACGGGATTCTCCAAGAGGAAGTGAGAGAGGGAGAGAGAGGGGCAAGAGAGAGAGAGGGAGGAGAGAAAGAGAGAGTGAGCGGAAGAGAGAGAGGAGACGGCATATCCCAGCGGATTTCCGAATCCCAAGTTCATCGAAGTTTAGATCACTAATCGGACTTGCAGTAGGGTCAGGGATGGAATCTAACCACTCGGATTATTTGGGAAAAAATATCCCTTCGACGCGCGCGCGCGCGGATACGGGGGTTCAAAAAAAAAAAAGTAAAAGAGAACACTGTGATCGCGTGTCTGAATTCGAAACGTTGCGAAACTTTTTCTGTCAGGGACATCAAGGAACTTTGTGCGTATTTTGATCGATCGCTCCTGTCGCTCACTGTCGCGAATTCGTCAAGAGATCTCGCTATAAAAAGAAGCAATGTGTCTACCAACAGAATATTTTAGTGCTTTCCGAATTTCGACTCGTTCGTCGCGACTGATAACAGTTGAATAATTAAATTAAACAGCGCGTATGATTAATTTAAGTACAGGAATTTTATTTACGATGTCATCATGAAAATCTTGTTATCCCGGAGGAACCAGAGAATAACGTTCTACTTGAGAGCAACCACATTTGTTCTCTTTGTTCCACCGTTTCCACGTGCCGTAATACCTCACCGCAATGGACGTAATAGCGCAAGCCAACCCTCGCGGTCACAGTGTAAAAGTTATGCCGCATGAATCAAAGCGAGGAGCGTTATATTCCTTTAGGGGTTAAGGGAGGATCGTCTTTAGGGAGGGGGGGGGGGAAGTTACACCACCTAACGGCGGTGTCCGCGTCGGAGGTAAGACGGAGCTCGGAGGTCATGTGGCCGGTTAAGTCACCAAGAAGCCAGGCTTAGCTGGCGCCCAAATCCAAGTTCGGCTCACCTGGATTAATCCCAACATAGGGTCGACCCCAAATCGCTGTTACGCCGTCTTTCCCTCGGTTGGCTAAATCGACTTAGAGTCTCCCTTCTCCTCCCTCTCTCTCTCTCTCTCTCTCTCTCTCTCTCTTTCTATATCTATCCTCGGCTTTCAATTAAT